GTGCAGAATTAAAAGAATGTCACAAAAAAAAGGGATAAAATGTGGTGTTCTGGAATGAAATCTTACCTACAATGTAACACATGAATTATTGTTTCATATTATTAGTAAAATAACAGATTCTGTCATTCTTAAACTACATCAAAACCCAGATAGCACAAGTACGTCTGCAAGATGTCTGTGAAAGATCGCTTCATCTGGAAAGCATCTGCTGTGCACAAACATCTGATAGACGTTTTTAAGATGTCAGTTTTACATACATTCTAAATCATAAACATCTTAAAGACGTTTTCTAAACGTCTATTTGACATCTGATAAGAAACATCCTATAGACGTATTGCAAGTTCCTCCTTACTAAACAAAAGGTTGAAATTATATTTGAAAGTTGCAAAATTCAAAATATTTCAACTTTCCCCAGCACTTTATGGACATATTCTCACATGTGTAAAGATGTTTTTGCTTCTAAACTGCAATCATTCCTACTTCTATGAATGACTGTTTTTTTACTTATGGTGAACATTTATAATCTTTAAAACTGACACCACAAAGAATGCAAATGAGTTTACTTTTGTTAACTGTGCGTGTGGGTCTGATTTATAAATAAATTACCCCTAGTCTTTCTCCATCATTTACTGAAAAACAGGTGGTCTGCTAGGGACTTTTGTGTGAGAGAGAGACACTTGCTCTGCGGCTGCGAATAGTTTCAATCAGCTCCGGAGGTTCCAATCAGTTTTTAGAAATCATACAGAACAGAACTGAACATTTGCAATGTCAATCTGAATAAAAATGCATTTTGTTTTTATTCAGTTACAATGTGTTCAAATTTATGTTCATATACATTATAATGTCAAGAGGCAAATGACCAATGTGCCCATTGGTTGGTTGCATTTCTCTTCGTTCACTCTAGTATGGTAAAACTAATATGGGACAAAGTGAGCTCAGATAACTCTCTTTTGCTCAAAGCTGCCTGTTTGACCGGGACAGATGTGTGAGAACTCCCTCCAATATTCTCATCATTGCTTTTCATCTGAAACAATGGCAGGTCTCTGTTGCTCTCACACCATCAAAGAGTAGCAAGGTTACAGCATAAAATAAGCCCCCAAGGTCCTCTATCTTTCTTTTTTTTCTGTGAAATGTTTAAAAATAGAATAACTTAATTAATACAATATTCACCATAGAGATTAAGTTAAATTCACATTTCTAATCAGAAAGCTTTTTAGGGTCCAGAAAGCCCACGCTGTAACCATGGAAACCCCTATCTGACAGATCCGCTATCAGCCAATTAATGCAAGAAATGAGTACTTTTATTGCAGAAACAAATTCCCAATAATACTCTTCAAAAAAAATTACTAATTGCCAAAGGGCATGCCGTTAGCTATAGGACTTGGTTGATGTCCAGAGAGCATAAGAATGCCTGTCTGGGTAGACACTGCAAAGAAATCACACTTTTGGGCATTTATGTGGTTTCACCCATATTTACGTAATGCCCAAGGGCCATGTGTCTGTAATTAGTAATCAATAACTCATTCAACTCTGCAAGTATTCTTGTAAATATGAGCTTCACGGCATGTTGGGTTTATTTGTCCGGCTGGCTGAAACTTTTTAAACCTTATCTAACAAACTACTGATAGAAAACATCAATATACTCTAAGGATTTGACATAATTTTGACAAAACTCTTATATTTAGGTTTTGATAAAGCTGAAATTTTCATATTGTCTTTTTAATGCATCTTCACATATGTAAAACAGCTTCCATATGATCCTATCCTCCAGACTGCAAAAAGAAAATTCGCCACCACAAACAAAAACATAGCAAACAGTATCATAACACCATCATTTGGTTCCATTGTAAAATCATGTTTGTTTGTTTTTAATATTTACATTTGCCATGTTAATTAAGAGTGTGCTTTGGGAAATTTTCACAATAGATATTTTTGCTGAAAATTAATAAAAAAAGATGAAATACAAAGCATATGCATTACAGTAAAGTAACAGTAAAGGCTTTTACAATGTTACAAAAAAAATCTATTTCATATATATGCTGTTCTTTTGAACTATTCAAAGAAAAATGTATCATGGTTTCCATAACGATATTAAAGCTGCAGTCCGTAAGTTTTGCCTCTTTGTTGCCATCTCTGTTTGAAAACCTGGAATTGCAGCTGTGTGCGGAATTATCTTCCTTGCGTGGGTTGTGCTCTGTCACGGCTCCAGCGCGGATAAATCGAATGTTTTGAGGAGTATGTGTGGCAGTCAGTCACCGCACCGGTGTGGATATTGTACTTTGCACTCACAGATTCTAGCCTACGTCTTGGAATATGACCCAAATAAGAATTTTCACCGTATATTGCCATCTGAACAAGTAAGTAACAAGTCTGCCGCCATCAAAATGATACATTTAAGTATTCCAGCTGCTGTGAGAAAAGGCTATAAACGATTGGCCACCTGCAGGATCCTCACATGCAATAGCCTAGTAGCCGGGACAACTTCTTTATGTTTACAGACGTGACGTAATGACACAGCGGCATGCTCGAATTTGCCACGAAAACCTACCCGTACCACTCAAATTAGAAAACATTATTATAAGCTGACCATTGTGAATCGGGCTAAAGTAAGGCGATAGTTTCGAACACTGGCTGGTTATGTACTTGCTCAAATATTAATTTCGGATCATTTTTAACCAAAAAAAGTTACGGACTGCAGCTTTAAGCAGAACAACTGTTTTCAGCTGTTTCAAGAAAACAGTTATTTTAAATTGTAAAAAAAAAATAATAATAATAATTTGTAATTATATTTAATAATATGAATATTGTAATGAACCCCTGTGGCCCCACACATGCATGTCGCCAACATGGACCCTCTTACATATAGCACAAAGTTCTGATTAGGGATTAGACCATTGTGTGAGGTGATTACATATGAACAACTCACACACATTCACCGCCAACAGACTCACTGATGAACCTCTCATGTAAACGAGCTTGGATTTTATGATTAATGCTGAACTAAACAAACAGAGGACTGTCCAAATCTGATTGTACAGTGGAGGGAAAAAATTTATTTGGGCCCTTAAATCACACTTTAAAAAATGTCTGAATTTCATTGCTTTTAACCAGATGGTCTCAGGGTGATTTTTTTAGCAGAGCAGTTAAATTAACACAGGTTTCCTAACTGAATAACCACAGATGTAATCCATCAAATTAACTAAAGACATGTCCCATGACTTAAAATAATTAATATTTTTAACTTAAAAATAAAAATTAATTAATTATTAGTTTAGTAATTTGAAAATAAAAATGTAAAAAGACAAATTGTTTTTCAAATTGACAATGAAAAACATTTACAGTAGGTATAGAAAAGATTCACCCCTTTTACAATAATCAGATTTTGTTGCTTTGGAGCCTGAAATCAAGATGGACACAGTTTTTGTTTTATCCAGCTGTATTTACTCAGTGCAACTTATAACATCCAAGTGAAAGATAAAACACCAACCTGTCAGAAAAAAATTAAAAAACAGAATCACTGAGTTGGAAAAAAGATCACCCCCTTCTAAAAATGGCTTGTAAACTCAATCAGGTGTAGCTAATCACCTTCTCAATGGCACACAAAACCATTTGACTTTCAACTGTGATCAGCTGTGCTCATTTTGTGTCCGTCTTCATTTCAGGCTGCAAAGCAACAAAATGTGATTATTGTAAAGGGGGTAAAAAATGTGATTGTAAATGTGATTGTAAAGGGGGTTTATTTAATTAATGTTACAAGACAATAATAAATGAATAAATCATATTTTGGTGACACATTACAATAAGGTTCCATTTGTTAACATTTGTTAACTACATTAGTTAACATGAATTAACAATGAAAAATACTTGTAAAGCATTTATTAATCTCAGTTCATATTAATTTCAAAATTTACTAATGCATTTTTAAAATCCAAAGTCATATCTGTTAATATTAATTAATGGTTATGAGCTAATATTAACTAACAACGAACAGTCATAGTTGTATTAATTAGCATTAACAAAGATTAAGAAATACTGTAACAAATGTATTGGTCATTGTTAGTTAATGATAGTTAATGCATTAATTAACATTAACTAGTGAACTTTATTGTAAAGTGTTACCCATATTATAAACTAACAAAAATAGACAAATGTATCACTATTTAGTTAATATTAAAAATGCTAGTTAAGTGTAAGAATAAAATAATAAATTAATAAGTCATTTTTAAATGAGCCTTTCACATTTCCAAATGATTTTCTTTATCCATTTGTGGATCAAATGAAAAAAATGCAATTGGATGCCCTTTTGACAGCTTGTGCTATATTTCTTTAAAAATTAATGGTCGCTATATTCCACTATATTTGGACCGGTTTGTGATCATATAAGTTCATATCTTTTGGGAGTCGAGGTATAACTACTAGTCTATATATTTTGTTGTTTTGTAGCGCTGGCAAACACATGTCAGTTATATTGGGGGATAATACACTGTCCTGAAAGTTAAAGTAGAAATACCACAAAGCCAACAGTCTGATTTAAATGTGCAAGTGTGTGTGTGTGTTTCTAGGTGTCTTTTTTAAAGTGCTAAGATAGACCCAGCATATAAATGGCCACCAGTGATGGACTTTCATGGTCAGATGGTCACCTGTCCTCCAAAATAAAATGTCATTGGCAAGACAACAGCTTCAAAGAGCCAGACGAGACTTTTTAGTATGATGCAAGGCAGACCAAGAGTCCTTGTGTCCTGCAGTCGTGGTCCAGTAAAATCCCTATTTCAAGCTAGTTTTGCATCCTGAATTTTCATGTAAAAGCCACATTTTTGTCTGTGCAATTCAATTTGCTTCACCGTTTCTCTGAATTTTGACTCCAAGGCGATCATCGTTTCCCAGTTCTGATCCTCAAGTGGAAAAACATATTTTGCAAACCCATACATGTGTTCTGACCACGGTCATATGCAAATATGTACAAATGCTAATAATTAAAAAGTCAAGGCTATAAGTCTTACCAGCTCCCTCGTGTGTTGCATCCCCGGGTTGTTTATAGGGGTTGAACTTGGGCTTGGGAGCCACAACAGGAGCAAACTTCTTAGGAGCCTGTTGCTGGGATACAGAAATACTGGTGGTACCCATGGGTAAGCTGGTCTCCATTCGTGCACTCACATGACCTTGCTGGTCCCCATCATTATGGCCACCCCACATATTTCTGGAGTCAAGAAATCTAAAAAACAACAACAAGACCACATTATTATATTGCACTGAGATGTACAGGTCCCAAAGCACCCAGAATGCCCACAATGTGTGAGGAATTGTAGCGCTGTCTGAATTCTAGTGATACATTCCTTCCATAAAAATTGAGTTGTTTTTATGCATAACATAGATATGGATGGATTAGCCATTGTGGTAATTTTCACCAGGGACTGAATTCCCATCCCTAGAGCACTGTGCAGTGGCGGCTTCTCCCGCTCTTTGTTCTTAGCTGTGGACTTTGCAAAGGAAACTGTGCATTTCAAACACCAGGCATGGAAGAACCAGAACAAGTTCAGAGAAGCATCATATCTGATTATTGCATAATTTTATGGCAAGTTCATCCAACAAAAGTGCAAATTTTGTCATGACAAATGAAGTTCAAATGGCCCATACTAGATGCTACAATTTATGAATGATCCAAGTCAAAGATACTATTTGTTCATACAGTACATCAACTCTAATGAATATGCCAAGGAAAGTTATTAACCTCTTAAAACCCAAGAAAAGATTTTTAGGAAAAACATAGTTTTTTTCATGTCTTTACATTGTTTAGAGCATTAAAAAAATTTACCAAAAAAATGATATTTCATTCATAAGTTATGCTATGTCCTCGGTAGAGGACATCGGGACTCAATTTTTTTTTTAAATGAAAAGACATGAATGAACATGCATAAGTGAAACATCCAAACATCTCTGAAAAGCCCTGAATGTGCTCTGCACAGGACATCCAGACTTAAAACTGTGGCATGTATAGTCTCAGAGAAATACACCAAAATATAATGTCCTCATATGAGGTCACAGGGTCTCAGGAGGTTAAGTCTCAGTTTAACTTAAATTTGGTTTATTCTTTACAAATCTGTTGTATTAGTGTGTTTTCATGTCTTGACGGAAAGATTATATTATATATTTACAAGTTGAGCGCCAGCGCTACAAAAACAAACTCGAAGCCCATTCTTTGCTTGCAGTTTTGAAGAAATATATACAGTGCCCTCCATAAGTATTGGAACAGTAATAACAAAATTGGTTTGTCTGCTGTGGAGTCAAGACATCTGCAAATATGATTAAAAGATGAATATAAGACAAAACCGCAGAATGTCACATTTTATTATTAGCCGTTTCAACACATTCATGTTTTACCAAATAAAAAGGACAGCACTTTTAGAGTTTCATTCCCTAATCTGATGTGAGCATAAGTATTGAGACAGTTGAACTTAAAGCAAATGTAAAAGTTTAAAAGCGAATATTTAGTTGTAAATCCCTTGCATGCAATCACAGCAGTGAGTCTGCCACCCATAGACATCACCGGACTCTTGGTTTCATCCATTGAAATGCTTTTCCCAGCCTTTAATACAGCCAATTTCAACTGTTGCTTGTTTTGGGGAGCTTCTGCTTTTAGTCTCCTCTTTAGCTGGTGAAATTCATGTTCAACAGGATTTAAATCTGGAGACTGACTTGGGCAATCTAAGACCTTCCATTTTTTGGTCTCCTTGACTGAGCTAGCAGGGTGTTTTGGGTCATTGTCCTGTTGCAATATGAAGCACTTTCTGATGAGTCTTGTGGCATTTTCTTGAATATTGGTAGCCATGCTTTTGTACACTTCTGCATTCATTCTGCTTCACCATCATCCATTAAGTCATCAATAAAGTTGAGAGGGCCTGTTCCAGAGGCAGCCATGGGCATGTCATTGTCATTTTGTAACATGACAGCCTGAGTGATCCTCCACTTCTATTCTATTTACAAGAGTGGCCAGGACATTCCTTAATTGGTTTTTATAGAAGAAACAAAGTTATATGGGTTTGGCTTGATATGGTTGAACTATCCTTTTAAGAGTGTATATTTTCAAACATAAAGTCTCAGGACTTGTCATCCCGCAAAACCAAATATGGTGCTAATCATTCCTCGAGTTCTCTGGGACGTGCCAAGGTGTCAAATAAGATTCTGTAATTTGATATAATCCCTTACTTCACATACGCCACTCAACTTTCTATAGTTAGAAGCAAATAACCACCAGTTGCTATCCGCGTTATCAATTTAAATGAAACCATAATACATCAGGCAATGAAGAACTGGGGATATACTAGTTGTGTTGAAGCTTAGAAAGCTGCCAGAGAACATGACAGCAGTTTAACTTTCACTGACGTGGTGAACGCTGTAGTACCAGCAACATTAACAACCTGACAATATTGATGACTTCTAATGCATTTATTGACAACTTCAGGAGCATGTGTGTGCTAACTGCTGTGCCACAGCTCTAGCCAACTTATTAAAATAACTGCTTTACTCTTATTTATGTTCAGCTTGTCTCTGAGACAGACATATTTACATAACCGGTGTTGTTTATCTGCTTAGGCATTTAGCTGCAGGGCCGCTGCTGTCTATTTTGACTCTAAAAATTGCACACACCTCCCTACTTGGATTATTTGGATTTTTATTATTTGGATTATTACTTACAAATGAAGGGGATTATTGTAAAGCAGACTGATTCAAAGAATTATTCACAGTAAATAGGTTCTACGTGGCCTGTTATGAGCTGCAAGTGAGTGGCGATAATAAATAGTCCAATAAATAAAATCGTTTGCTATATTTGTTGAAAATGCAGTGGGATTTGATACAGGTGTTGAGGTGCAAATGACTGAACCTGTGCCATGCAGGGATCAAAATAGCTCTGCTAGTTCAAAAAAATTAGATTTTAGCCTGTAATATGAACTCTCCGCAGAGTATAGCGTAATGAGATAACTAGAGGGTTGAGGTTAACTGAAGTCGTTCTTATGAACATGATATATATGGTATACAGTATATCGAGTCGCAACTGGCTGCCCAGATGGGCCGTAACAAAATCCTCATTATGAAAAACCCTCAGGGTGCAATAAATAAAATAAAGCATTTGTTTAGAAGAAATAGATGACAGGTCATCCTGATCGCAAGGTTAACATAAAAGTCAAAAATGTCAGGGTGGTACAAAATGTCCAAAAACAAAACTCACTGCTGAATAACCTTCATGGCTTAATAACTGCAACACTACAGGCCCTCATCAATGTGTCAAGCTCAAAAAGTCGAAAGGTCAAGGTTGACTCAGAGTTATTTTAGCTAACTGACACTAAAACTGAAACTATAAATAAAACCACTAAAAAATTGTTACTTGAAGTAAAATAAGTATTAATTGAAATAAAATTAATATATAAAAAAAAAAAAAATGAATAATCACTATATATATATATAATACTAAAATTGACAAACACACAACAACATTACTAAACTTTACCAACAATTATTACTAAAATAGCACTACAATATCACTGACCCATTAACATGGTATATTATTTAAGCACCATGTTATACAAATCTATCAATATCATTAATGACCAATTGCACACTAAATCATGGTGCAACCATAGTACTTGTTTTTAAGTAGATAACACAGAAATAAAGACAAAGACAAATACAAGAGAGAAAGAATGCCTCACTGGAAGAACTCTCTAATAGCTGTTGTTTTACCATCGCAACTGTACTGAAATCGAATGAAACATTATTTGAAATATTTCAACAACGCATCTTTCATTTTTTTCTGCCATTGGTCTTTTTTGTGGGTGCCATTGTTGCTTTTTGTAGCTGTGTACGCGGTGTACGCTGTTTTGCTGCATCTGACTGATGTAGGCTTTACGTTTTCCCTCCAGAGACAAGCCAAAAGAGCCCACGCACAATTGTGTTCTAATATCGTCTAGCCGCACCACACAGCAGAACCTCTTTACCGAGCTTCCCCATTGATCCTTCTGTGTCAGAGCTCTCCATTTCCCATCATTCTGCTCACACACACCTAGGCCATAAAAGGGAACAGCGTAAGGACAGGGGACATTATCACACAGTAACGGTTCTAACACACCTGAACTTTCTTGTAAAAGGTTGAAAAAGATGGTTTCACAGCAGACGATGGGCTACAGGAATCTATAGGTGTGTTATATTTCCTGACCTCTGTTGCAGACTCTATTATAATGCCTGGAGAGTGTGTGTGAAAAGAATAAAGCACAGCTTAACCTCAACCCCGACCTCTTCAGTGAGAAAGAAAACAGTGAGCAGGAGGATGAACGTGGATCAAAGAGACTACAGTCCGATGGAGACACAGGATGTCAGTGGGAATGATGTAGGCTTTACGTTTTCCCTCCAGAGACGAGCCAAAAGAGCCCACGCACAATTGTGTTCTAATATCACCACACGGCAGAACCTCTTTACCGAGCTTCCCCATTGATCCTTCTGTGTCAGAGCTCTCCATTTCCCATCATTCTGCTCACACACACCTAGGCCATAAAAGGGAACAGCGTAAGGACAGGGGACATTATCACACAGTAACGGTTCTAACACACCTGAACTTTCTTGTAAAAGGTTGAAAAAGATGGTTTCACAGCAGACGATGGGCTACAGGAATCTATAGGTGTGTTATATTTCCTGACCTCTGTTGCAGACTCTATTATAATGCCTGGAGAGTGTGTGTGAAAAGAATAAAGCACAGCTTAACCTCAACCCCGACCTCTTCAGTGAGAAAGAAAACAGTGAGCAGGAGGATGAACGTGGATCAAAGAGACTACAGTCCGATGGAGACACAGGATGTCAGTGGGAAGAGGTACAAAGGGACCTTCCTTTCCAGCTTGTTTTGTAAAATAAAATAAAATTAATTTCTAGAACTAATTGTAATCCTAAAATAAACCTTTTTAGATTTGTTAGAGATTTATTCAAGGTGTAATTTCTACACTTAGGAAAAAAGCACCAAAAGTACTTTTTTGGGAACTTTTTTTTTTTTTTTGGATATACAATGAAATCCAAAAATTCGAGACAATAGTGAAATTTCTTCTATTTTGAACATTTTTTTTTTTTAAATACAGTTTAAAGGTTCTTTTGAATTATACTTTTATTCAGAAAGCATGCATTAAATTGGACAAAAGTGATAGTAATCATTTTGTTGTCGTTGTTGTTATTTAT